TGAGGTGCATATATCTACAACCGCCTAACTTAGTCAATCTAATTTAAGAGAGCTGACAGACACAGAGTTAAAATTAGCCAACTTCCTGTAGCATATGATGGTCAACATGATTGGCAGAGTTCTTGATGTGGKTGGAGTTTGTCCTAAATGATTGGTGGAGGTTGGTTGTGTAAAGAGCTTGGCAAAACCTTGATTGGTCAGACTGACTTGTTTTGTGGGCACTTAAATGTTTCACAGATTCTTCAAAGTGCTTTTACTCCCCAACTCACACAGACTCATACAGTGCTTTCTGTCATGTACTGTATGTTACACTGTATAGACCACTTTTTTACATTTAAGTCTTAAACTAATAAGCATAGTGTCTTGCCCAAGATCACTTCGTTACACTGCAAAGAATTGGGACTGAACCACCRACCCGCTAGGACAAGCTGCCTGCAACAGGTACTCTGAGCATGAYGCCTTACAATATCACAAGATGGCGTGTAATGTTGTATTCAGGGTTGAAACAAAACAGCTTTAATGCAGTCATCTCTCAACATAAAGTCTAAAACGCTGGCATGAAATGTGGCAGGTGGTGCAGGTGTTCAAGGAACAATGCATCTGTAGTTAAAGTATGAAGCTGGGCCAGTCCACAGCCACMCTGCAACGTCTCAAACTGTCTTGTAAAACAGCATTTTCTAAGGAGCCTTAATAAAGTGCACATGCTTCTGATCAACAGAGAGAAGACCCAAAACCTGAATCTACTTGGTWTTTCAAAAAATGTTACAAATTCAAACCAGAATATCAAATCACCCCAATTATTCTGTCCCTTTAATATGATAATCACAAATAATATAAATAATTCTGTTAAAGAAAAAATAAAAATCCCTCACAAAGCAAACAAAAAAATTTACACAATATTAAAAAGACATTCACATATTGAAAAAATACATTGTGACATGACATGGAACTGTGAATTCAATTTTCTTTCACAAATCTGTGGCTAGAGAATAGTGTCACCGCCACTTCAAGGATATTTCTCAGTTTTTMCAGACAAAAACACATTTGTTGGTATCCTTTCATCAAAGAAAGACAAAACCCACAAAAGATCATTGAAATAACTTGAAACAAACAGTAATTTGCGAAAAAAAAGACAAAAAAAAATAAACACTACTTTATAATTTTGGTTTGGTTTTTAACAACCATGTGACCATGTGTCGACTGTTCGGCTTCAGGGGAATTATATAGAGGCCCTTAATGGAAGACAGTTTGCTAAAAAAAAMAAAAAACATATCGGCAGGCCACAGTACTTCTGAGAGAATGTCATTTGGACAAATGAGACAAAACTGGAGGTTTTCTTTTTGACAAGTTACTTCAGCTCCATGTTCACAGACCCAAACATGAAATACACAAAGAACAGAACCCTGTCTCTACTGTGAAACATGGAGGCTCAGTTATGTTCTGCTAACAGGGTTTCATGAAAACTCAAGACWATCAAGGCATTCTGAAGCAGGYCATGAGTCGTCCAACAGGATGATTCTAAACAACTAAAAACATCCGATAATGGCCAAGTAAAACAACACAGAATTATTCTGAAGTGGTCTTCTGAGCCCCGATCCAAACCCTTTTGAACACCTGTGGACCCTTCAAACCTGAGACAAATGGAGCTGTTTGTTTAGGAGTGGCTCAGTGAACAGACTGATTTTTGTTAGTTGATTTTCAACTTTATTTGTGACTTTTGTCAGTTTCAAGTTATGTTAGTGATTTTTGTTGTTTATCTTTTTTTTTTTTTACCAAAAAGGGTACAAACATTTTTTTCCTGCATTTATAGTTGCACCAATAAAAAAGGGTCACAATATTTTTATTATACGTTTTAATTTTTCTGATAGAATTTGTCATATTTAAAGAATAAACTGTTAATGTTAAAAKATTAACATAGTTATACTTCTCAGATTCTGGGTAAATGGACCCCAAAGCTCTTCACGCTTCATTCAGAAACACATTCACACACTGATGATGGTAAGCTACATTGTTGCCCAGGGGCAGATTGACAGAGGCGGGCTGTCATCAGACACTCTGACCACCACCAGCAGGCAAGGYGGGTGAATTGTTTTGCCCAAGGACACAACAACTGAGATGAATGGAACCGGCAACCAACTGGTTACAGGTCGACTCCCCTAATCACTCTGTTACAGTCGACCCACAATAAACACAACAGTCTAATTACAACTGAATTAGTAAGTTTTACAAATGGCCTTACAGCAGAAATATATAGAGTAAACTGACAAACCATATTCCACAAGTTCTCTGTATCTACARGATCCAAATATTAACAATTCCCCACTATCCAAAATTAATTCTTGCAAAATTATTYGTTTACACCTCAACAGTATTTTGTAGCTCAGGAACAGTTTTGTAAAAATATAACTTCTGTAATTCTTCTAAAAATGAGAAGTCTGCCTCAACACAATGGGGCTCATGCAAGAACCGTTCGTAGAGATTTGTTCTTAAATTGTGCGTATGAGTGATTTAGGAGAATTTGTGGCATTCACCAATTTTCTCGTATTCTAAGATTTTCTTCAGATACGAACAAAATTTACGAGTGGTCCAGACCTGTCGTATATTTTACGAGCAGTCCGTCTGCTGATATCCAGACGGGTTTTCTTCACTAATAACTTTATATTTCGTTAGTTTGAAGATAGTTTGAGTTGAAATTAAATCACACTCCATAATTATGTTGATAGACTGTTCTGTTTGAACTGGAATTATAATTTTAAATATAATAATGTAGACTAACAACATAAATTGGTTAAACTAAAGTGAATTGGCTATTAATGCTGCTGTATAAACACTACAATATTAATATGAAGTTAATTGAAGTTTGGAGAC